ATATATATATATATATACACATATGCACACACATTAAAATATTAACAACAATTCAGGTTAATTATTAAAAACTGACAACACAAAATGCTTGAACCTAATAATAGTTACTCCACTGGATTACTTAATGTTGTATTTTCCTTTCAATACAAAATTTAGAAGCTTTTAATAATACCTGAAGTTATAATACTTAAACTGTTAATAAATACAGATGTTATCTTCAGTGCTTACTATTTGGCCTTGCTGAGGGTCATAAAACCTTTCTATTAATGACACGATAGTACTTTTTCCACATCCACTTGGTCCAACAAGAGCCAAAGTCTGACCAGGTTGCACACTTAAGTTAATTCCTCGCAAAACGGCCACATCTCTTCGACATGGATATCTGAAGTGAACATCTTCAAAAGTTATTGCACCTCGCATTTTCTGAAATAAAAATGAAAAACAATTGCACTTAATAGTATACCACAAGCTATTTCTTTTTAAACAAATAACTGAAAAATGTATAACAAAGAAAATTCAAAACAGTAAAATTTCTATTCTATCAGGTAGATATATAAATAACCAAAATAAATGAATGAAAATGTTCTAAATCTAATGAAATATGAACAAATAAAACTTAAACTTAACCCCTTCATTGCAGCTGGGATGTAGGTTTTACAGTGCTTCCACATTGTGACTGGGACAAATGTTTCCCATTGTTGACACTGTTTATGCTTTCCTCTGCTGGGTCCAGGTTCATCATCTTCACTATCATCTCTAGATGGAGAGCTAGCATCCTCTTGTCTCATTACCTCTCCATCATCACACATTTTAACACTACTTGACTCACTTTCACTATCTTCTAAGCTATCCAAGTCAAGAGCATCAAGCATATTTACATAGTAATTAGGGTTACTACTCACTGCTTTAGAAATGCAGGTACAGTCAGCACACAGTTGTTGTACATTCTGCTTAGGCATCTTGTTGGCTACTAAAGAGCTGAGTGGAAAACATTGAGGGAAACCATATATATCAACATTAGGTGGGAGGCCAATAAATACTTTCCAACTCATTTTACTCCCATACATCACATGCGGCATTTTTGAATGACAATGGGAAACATTTGTCCCAGTCGCAGTGTGAGGGGGTGGGAGCACTGGGAAATATACATCACAACTGCAGTGAAAGGTTTAATTGACACTGGTTTAAGGTTTTAGTTTTTAAGTATTCCTGAAACCATAAAAAAAAGTATTACAAAATCTCTTTAGTGAGTTAAATAATGTCTACCTAAATACACTGTAAGTAGAAAACCAAAACCTAAAACTGTGTTTTTTTCCCCATTCTTATGTTAGCTGTCTCAGGCTGCTGATTTCAAAGTCTTTGAACTAATTAACTCTTGCATTACGGGCTGGTGGAATGCACCCAGCCCATAACCACAAAAGTATTCATGAGAGTAATTATGCTATGATTTTTTATAATATATGCATATCTTTACAAACTTTTGTAGGTTATTGGTAAACATTACAAGCCTTTTGTATACAAAATATCAGGTTTTTAATTAAGTAATAAGATTTTTTAATTAAAAATTTTCATGTAAATTTTTTTTTCAGAATGTTGACTATCCAACATACAAAGTAATTTTAATTTTAAGAATAAAAATACTTTTATGCATTAGAACATTTTGAAATTTCACATGTGAAATCTTTATAACCTCCAAATAATTAACAAATTTTTTTTAGAAAAAAATTTTACATTTTATCTGTTATTTTCACTACTGTATCTGTATACAGGTTGGTTCGATTTGAGCAATTTCGTTATCTCAATAAAAAATTAGGAAATAAATACAAATTATGTTTTTTTAATTCTAGAATGACTACAAATTATACCACAAAAACACAAATGTTAGTTTAAATATCTTAAATTTCATAACATTATTCATTTATATATATTTATTATATTGACCTTTCAGCTGTGCCTGGCTAACATCATTGAAGTTGTAATGATGCAGCACATGTGCACTGATGTCACCATATCCAAGAAAATAAAGCTGGCCTTTACAAAATGACCTGTCTTGACTGTGTTTTAGTGGACTAGTATTTTGTAAAATATAGTCACATTTCAGTTTTAATACGTTATTATTATTATTTAAAATAAGTTCTTAAATTTCAGTTACTTTTCTTAAAACATAGAACAGTAAATAAAGAATTATAGAAAATAATTATCTCTTCTAGTTATGAACTTTGAACTCGTTTGCTGCTTGCCATAGGTTGCTAAGCCTTATCAAAATTTGCACGATGTGAAAAGAAATAATTTTTTTAAAGTTTTATATATATATTTTGAAATAACCCCAAACCATAAATTACTATATCAATACCATAAAATTCCTCTATAATTTATTAAACTTCATAACTAAGCTGTATTTGGGTCTAAAAAAAATATTAAATTTTGAACTCACTAAAGTTTCACCTTACCTTTTCGAATCCAAGCTTTAAAAGAACGAGTTTGGTACTGAATACTTCAATTACACTGAGAAATCCACTAGGGGGACATTCTGAGTTTTTGATTGGTTATTCACACGTCATATACAAAAGTAAGTGTACATTAGCATGTCTTTCCAAAAATGAAAAGAGGTGGTTATGATCACCGTGTTTTGTTCAGTACATGTAGCAATATCTCAGGAAATAGAAAATACTGGAAGTTCTTATTTGATATTCTAGTTTGATAATATCGGAAATTTGAGTTTTTAATTCGTAAGAAACTACAGACTTTGTATTTGGCCATCACAAACATCTAATTTGAACCAATGCTGCATTCAACATAACACACAAAAGTCAATATTTAGGATTTCTTTTTTAATATTTACTTTTAAGTTAAAAAATTAACTAATGGATCATACTAACATTTAAATTATAAATAAAATAAAATAAAATAGTAGTTCAATAAAATTTTGAATGCGAGTCTACAAACGTGATGATATGGCCTTTGACCCATGTCCATAGGAAGACCAGTAGAGATAAGGTTAAAGGCCTAAAGACCATAATATCAATTTAACAAAACATAAACTTTAAAGACAAGGGACTTATAGGCTCATCTAGGTTATTTCATCCACAAAACTAAACTTAAAAAATAAAACATCCCTAAACATTTATATATTAACCAAGCTTTCCCTTAAACTCCTTTAAATCTACTGCATCCACCACATTAAAAACCCATTCCATAGGCCAAATGCTCTGTTAGAAAAATACAACTGTTTTAGCTGAAGATGACTCTTACTCTGTCAAAATTTATATTTGTATCCCCTAGTCTCAATATTCTCACGTATAAGTATGAAAAAAGATGATACATCTACACTATCACTTCCCTTTACAAACTAAAACACTTCAAACAGATCTCCTCTAACAAGGATCTTAATGTATCCTTGTAAGACAACCTTTCTATCCCAGGTATCATCCTCATAGCCCTCATCTGAACCCTTTCCAACAATTCAATATCCTTTTTCAAGTAAGGTTCAAGACTGAATACAATACTCCAAATGAGGCCTAACCAGTGGCCTATACAATAACATTATAACTTCTTTAGCCTTATATTCAATATTTCTGAAGATACAACTTAAAATCCTATTTGCCCTGCCACTAGCAACAGCACATTACTTAAATGGCTAAAGAAACTCATCAACCATAACATTAAGGTTCTTTTCTTCCATAACAATGTTATGGTTATTCTCATCCATATTATACTTATAATAAAAATTATGATAATCCACATGCATTAAGTTGCATTTATTTTAATTAAAAGCCATCTACCATTTACTTGCCCAACTCACCAAATAATCTATTTGTTTGTTTAAGAGCAAAGCCACATTGAGCTATTTAATTTGGCCTTGCTGAGAGTCACAAAACTTTTCTATCAATGACACAATAGTACTCTTTCCACATCCACTAGTTCCAATAAAAGCCAAAGTCTGTAACTAATGTTTTCTTGTACAGTTCCCTTTTTATAATGGCAACCTTGAATATAAGCATGGATTTTAGCATTATGAGTCTGTAAACTTACCATTGTACCACTGGGGGAATGTAAATAATCTAAATTCTTTTGTAAAGTAGCAGCACATCCTACCAGCCAGCAACATCCAAGATCTTAATATTATCAGTAACTTTAAGTAATTTATTAACCATACCTTCACCAGTGTCATTTATATAAATCAAAAACTAATAATCCTAACACTGAGCCCTGAGGTACCCCACTTGTGACATTAAGCCAGTTTGGCTGAACTCCATTTATAACAACCCTCTAGTGTCTTCCATCCAGCCATTTTTCAGTCTAATGAGCCAAGTCATCCCCACACCTATATAAACAATTTGTCTAATAAGCAAATACTTTTTGAAAATCCAGATCCACACCCTTACACTTTTCTATATAAGTAGTAGCCCCTTCAGAAATTTCCAAACGAAGTTTTTGGTAATTCTGAGTCAACCAATATATGTTCTTTGTTTACTACAAATGGGATTATGTGTGAACGGTGGGAGGGGTGTATAATTAAAACTTATCTGCTGAAGTTGGCATTCCAGTCTTTTACAATATCTAGCTACTAGACCAATAGTTACTACTACTATTTGAATAGAATAATGCATTGTTTTATCAATTAGGTTGCAAACACCATTTAACAAATGATATTTTGTCTGATTTTCTATAAAGATATTCTAATTTTTAACTAACGTTTATTTCTCTAATTTTTTCTATTGGAATTTTGCTATTATTGTCACTTTTGCCAAATCAACTTGGTCAGTAAAAAACCTCAACAGCAAAGCTCAGCAAATCTAAATAAGTGACTGTTTAGGCCCAATTCTAGATTTATCAGTCTCTAGCTATTACTTGTGTACACTATAAAAAGTTTAAACACAATTACTCTTATTTTGAAATTA